AGGGCCAGGGGCAGTGGGCAGGGCAGAGGTGTCGCCCACAGTAATGGCCCCAAGCACTTCCTTCTGCGGTCACTGTGCTCCAGCCTCACCTCTGCCTCCCACCCCATGAGCCCCTCACGCAGTTACTAAGGACACAGAGCCCTGCCGCCTGCCTGCCCAGGGCCCCGCTGGCTCTGCTTCCAGAAACTGCTCAGCACTTAACGATTTACAGGGCGCTTGCCCTAAAATTCTGCTTGCACCCTGATGCTCCCACCCTGGGTCACTGCGGCACACAGGGACACAGCAAGGGCAAGGACCCTGCTGAAGGCCACGGAGCCAAAAAGCCAAGTAAAGGTCTTCATTCATTTAGCAACCAAGGTGCAACCCCCAAGGTCTCCTCTGAATCCCCTCACCCCCAAAAGCTGCCGCACCTCCACGGGGCCCCCACATGCATCCTGGGCCACGTCCCTGCTCTCCCCCATTACAGCCCCCTTGTCAGGGTGGATGTCCCTGTGGCACATCTGTCCTGGGAAGCACAGTGAACATCACTTCCACAAAACAGTCACAGCTGTCCTCTGGGAAGCGCGTGGCACCCAGCGAGGCTCTGGGGACCATGGCTCATGAAAGGGGACAACAAGGCCCAGACTTCCTCGACAGACACCTTGAGTCTGAGCACAACCAGAACAGGACCTGGCCAGCCTGCACAGGGCTCTCACCACCCCCTGCTCCTGTGCTACATCCAGGGAGGCCGAGGGCACATGAGGGAGGTGACCGTCCCAAGGGCACCAGGCAGCTGCCAGCTCCTGCCTCCCTGTACCTGGAGGCTGGTGCCCCATGTCCAGGCAGAAAGGGGGCCTTCATGGCGGGCTGGCTTCATGCACATGGCAGATCCCTCCATGTGCACAGCCATTGACTGAGCGCTGGCTGTCGATGCAGGAGGTCCAGCCCAGGAGGACACCAAGAGGACAGAGGGCTGTGGATGCCCTGAAGGTGTCATCCAGGAGGCCACCGCAGGCTGAGAGGCAGCCCCTGCATGCACACCGAACACCCCGCCCTCCATGTCAGGAAGCACCAAGCAAACACTGCCCTGGGTGACACAGAAAGAATGCAGGAAGGTCTTCGGGTCCCACAGGTGGCAACAGGTTATGCTGGGGCTGAGAGAGGTCAGAGGTCAGGTTCTCATTCCAGATCTGCCACATCCTGGTGGAGCAACCCCAACCCCAGATGAAAGCCATCTGAGTTCTCCTTGCCTCAGCGTCCTCATGCATAAATTGGGGCTTGGAGGGCACCTGTTTCCAAGATAGCTAGAAGGTGACAACCAGCATTGGTTCACCATCCTTGTCTTCCTCTGAAAATCTGTCGCCCAACATTTGACTGAGTCTACTCACCCACAGGTAAGGCTCCTTCACACCCAGACAGATTTTACCTCCCCAATTTCACAGGTGGAAAAATGGAAGCTCAGAGAGGTTAAGACACTGCCCCATGCTAGGCGTGGTGGCGCATGCCTGGAATCCCAGCACTTGGGAGTCTGAGGAGGATCACTGTGAGTTCGAGGCCAACCTGGGCTACACAGTGAAATCCTGACTCAAAAAGACAAAACAAAATAAAAAATAATAAATACATAAATAAAGAAAATATACATATACTGGCCCATGGTTACACAGCAACTAGAGGCAGAACCAACCCCCAGCCGGTCTCACTGAGATGCCCAGCGCTGTCCATGGTGTCACAAGCACCTCCCCATGAGTCGAGCGCTGGCATTTCCAAGCCAGCCTCCTCCCACTGGGAGCACAGCCTGACGCCTGGGCCGGGCAGCAGCCTGCTGACATCTGCGGGAGTGGACCTTTCCTGCCCTGGCTGGCAGAACGGGAGGTCCCCACTGCCACCACCCAGGCCCTCTGTGAGTCAGTCAGTGACTAAGGCCCCAGCTCCAGGTCTGTGAGGAGCTGACTCAGGAGCACCAAGCTTCAAAGGGCAGCCGGCCTGGACCTCGACACAGGGACACAGAGGAAGATGGGCTGTTGGAGGTGGGGACCCCAGTCACACCCCTGGACCCTGCTGGGTGAGACAGTGGCACCCACACCTCAGGGCTCAGCCTCTGCGGGAGCTGGACACTAAGGGTCCTTTCTGGTTCCAGTGACAGAGACACCCTGCTAAGGCTGAGAGCCAAGGCAGGAACTCTCGGCGCCCCGTGGTGTACAAGACAGCCTGGACCACAAGCACCGTCAAGGCACAATGTCAGCAGGCCCTGCTCAGGAGGGTAGGCCACACACACTGCCTGTGACACTACCCTTGCTTAGAAGCACCAGGTGAAGTACGGATGCCTTCCCACTCTTCAGTACTAAGTTAAGCACTGCCCTGATTGCCTTCCACTGAGGAGTCCTAGGTTAAGCACTGCCTGACACCCCTCTATGAGAAGCACCCACTGAGGCCAAGTGGGAAGGAGGGCCCTGGCTAGGAGAGGGCCTCAGAGCTCCACGATGATGCAGACACCCCTACCACACATCCTCTCCCGGGCCTGATGCCCACCAGCTGCCCCTGGAGTCCCTGCTGTGCAGCCCTGCGGATACCAAGGTCGCCTTTAGTTCCTTCGTCCACTCCACCTGCCCTGCCCCAGCTCTGCAACCTCAGCCACCCACGGCCATCGGTACGTCACTGTCCTGACTCCCAGACCCACAGTGCCACAACTGCTGAGCATGTCTTAGACCACTCTTTAGAACTCAGGCTGTTTCTGTCTGTCTGTCTGTCTGTCTGTCTGTCTGTCTCTCTCTCTCTCTCTCTCTCTCTCTCTCTCAAGTGTACACATCCCAGAGCTGCCCTGCTGGAGCAGCTCTGCCTGGTACTTACCACAGCTCTGGTCTGAAGATCCGGCTCAGGCCTGGACCACCTCCACCCACACGCCAGCCTCACTGGCAATGGGCACCTGGGGAGCTGCTGAAGCAAGGGCTGATTCTGCCTCTCCCTGGCTAAGGGCTCTCACCAAGCAGCCACGGCCAAGCCCATCTCTGCCTGGGACCCCTTCTTCTCTTCTTATAACCCCCACCACAGTCCCATTCTTGTCTCCCATCCAGAGCTGGCAGAAAACTCAGGCATCTCAACCAAGCCCTACTTTTTTAGGTGCAGATGCTGGGGCTCTGAGACAGGGGACACCCAAAGTCACCCACATGGTGTACAGGACCAGCAGACTTGCTAGTGTTTCAGAGGGGGAAGAGCATGTGAGGAGCCCCTGAGACCTTGGCAGAGCACAGGGAAGCACAGAGGGTAAATTGAGGCCAGAGGGGGGCGTGCAGGGCCTGGTGGGCTAGGGCTTTCCTCTGAATCCCCTGGGTCCTGCTATGGTTTGAAAGGCTCCCCCAAATTTTATGAACTGGAAATTTACTTTTTATTTTATTT